TGCTGGACAATAAACAAGAGAAACATATTTTAAATGTCTAATGGTCCCGATCACAATATAGGAACACTCTTCTTAGCAAAAGAAAGGAAGGAAGGAAGGGGGACAAGCACATTAATATCAAGTTGCTTTCACATATTCTAATTTCAAAGATTAAAAAGGCTGATAAATCCACCAAAAGAATACAAAACATGTGCTTGCATGGCCACGTAGTAGACGAGTTATCAGAAGATTGTTTTGAAGAATGACGAAACAATATCCGGCCAGAGAAACGATAGCTATTATTTCCACCTTAAATTATGTCCAAGGAAGATGGACTTTTTTTTTTTTTGAGGAAGAGTCTCAATTATTTTCCCAGAGTGGAGTGCATTGGCCACTCCCGGCCACCACAGCCTCGACCTGCTGGGCTCCGGTGATCCTTCCACCTCAGCCTTGCAAGTAGCCGGAATTACAGATGCATGCCACCATGCCCGGCTGATTTTTTGATTTATTGTAGAGATGAGGTCTCACTGCCCAGGCGGGTCTCGAACCCGCGGGCTCAGGCAATCCACTCACCTCAGCCTCCCAAAGGCGTGGGATTACAGGCTGAGCCACCGAGCCCGGCGAAGATAATTTCTTATCAGGACTATTACTTAGTGAAGTAGAAACCTAGAGCTTGAAGAAAAGGTAAGCATGGAGGAAGGGAGGAAAGTTGAATTTGCTTTTGTTTTTTGAGTTGTGGTCTAACTTTGTTGCCTAGGCTGGAGTGTAGTGGCATGAGCACGACTCACCACAGCTTTGACCTCCTGGGCTCAGGCGATTCTCCCTTCTCAGCCTCCCAAGTAGCTAGGACTATAGGCATGCGCCACCACACCCGAATAATTATTTTAAAATTTATTGTAGAAACAGGATCTCGCTATGTTGCTCAACTGGCCTCAAACTCCTGGCCTCGAGCAATCCTCCTGCCTTGGCCTCCTAAAGTGCTGGGATTACAGGCATGAGTCATCATGCCCCGCCATGAATTAGTCTTTTTTTTTTTTGAGTTGGACTCTCACTCCATTGCCCAGGCTGCAGTGCAGTGGTGCAGTCACGGCCATCCCAGTGTCAACCTACTGGGCTCAAGCCTCAGCCTTCCAAGTAGCTGGAACCACAGCTGTGCGCTACCATGCCTGGCTAATTTTTTTTACTAATTATAGAGACAGGAGTCTCACCAAGTTGCCCAGGTTGGTCTCGAACCCCGAGGCTCAGGCTGCCCTCTCACCTCGGCCTCCCAAGGTGCTGGGATTACAGGGTTGAGCCACCACACCTGGCCAGTCATTTTTTTTTAATGGCTATAGAAGGTCATTGGCTGTAGTTGGGTATTAAAGGGGGCAATTCCAGATAAAATTTCAGAGAACCTAATAGAGATTCATGATTATTCTGAGGTTTCTGTATCAACTCCTGAACAGGAAGACTTAGGATAAAAATATTTCCAACTATAATTTTGTTGTATCTCTTGCTGTTTAAGTGTATCAATTTCTCTCTCTGACACTAAAAAATTAGGTACTGGGGAATTCCGATTTTTGTCGGTAAGCATCAGGAATTTCCACAACATATATTCTTTTTGTTAACTGAGCCTGAGTCCAACATGCTAGCAGCATCACTTGGAGGATAACTCAAACATTTTCCATACACTGGTAAAAATAATCTTACCAACTTTGGTACGGAAATATAAATATGTTTGTTATGAGCAAAGGCAGTGATAAAGAACCAAAGATTCTGTGGGGCTTTCATGCCACTGTGATATCTTTTTCTCTCTAACAGTGTCCTAGGACTAAGTATAAGTTGCCAGTCTACGAAAATCCAGTGCATTAAAACACTTCTCTTTTGACCCGCTTGTCTGTAATCATCCTGTTCTCAGATGTATTCATCCCAGCACATTCTTTGTGTGTGTGTGTGTGTGTGTGTGTGTGTGTGTGTGTGTGTGTGTGTGTGTGTGGCAAAAAACCTCCACACATTACATAAAATTCACCCTCCCAACAGTTTCCAAGTGTACAGTACAATATTGTCAACCACACGTACGTTGTTGTCCTCTAGATTCCCAGAGCATCCCACCTGCCAGTCCTGCATGAAAACACATTTGTTTTGATGCTCTATTTATATAGATTCCTGTTCCCCATTTAAATGTCCAACTTTACTCAGAGTTATACTTATTTTAATATTTCATTGTTACTTGTATACTTTAACAAATGCTTTCTAATAATGGTCTAGTTTTGTAATAGTGTTAATGGTGAAACAAGCAACTTTACTAAATTGAGCAATTAGATGCATGTGAAAATGCACACTTTGCATAACTTATTTTCATCACAAGTAACAGGTTTCTCTCCATCCGCTCCCTTTTCAAAGGGAATACAGCCTCCTTTAACTATAAAATGAGAGTATTATACTACATGATTCTATCTCGAACATTACCTGATTCCTTTGCCTCTTTTTTTAGATGTAATGCTTTTTCAGTGCACTCATAATGTCATGCATTTATATTTCACTTACCAACTAGATGCTGAGAGTTTTTGTTTTTAAATTTCAAATAGGCCAGTTCACTTGCATCATAAGAGTATGGTGATTTTTAAGGCTGCGAGATAACCTTGAAAACAAAACTAGACCAATATTAGAAAGCTTTTGTTAAAGTATACAAGTAACTCTCCAACTTCCTAAGGACACTAACAACTTAAGTCCTGCATAGCTAAGTACTTTGGAATTCCATAGTTGTTGAAAAAGAGTTGAACTCAAATGGTTTGCAGTAAATTCAGTGTCCTAGTGATCGTCTACGTATATCCAGAGAATTAACTATCAGTATCCTTCAGCTAAATTGTGCTTTTTTTCTTCTGCAATAAAATTGTCAGTAGGGTCTATCTAGCAGCAAAGTTTGGAAAACAGTTCAATTTTAATGGGCCAGAGCTCTTCTTTTAAAAGTACTTTAGTTTTTCCAGAAAATCTGTTTATCTCCACCATCTCCTCCCACTCTATACCCTAGTGTTTCCCGAATCATTCCCTCTCTTCTTACACATCTATTTGTCTTTCTGGTGTGTGACATGTTTGGAAGTCTCATTAAACCGGCATCTGTTCTGTTTTAGGAGAAACCTGATGCCAGCCCCACGTCACTTCAGCTGCGGTCCCAGATCGAAGTAAGCACAGTGACTTTAATCATCTGTTTTTGCTTTTGACTTTTTTTTTTTTTGCTGATATTTTGTACAAATCAGATGAAACACGCTGCTCTGCCCTCACTGACTATAGGAATCTTCTCTTGCAGGAGTCACTTGGCTTCTGCAGCGCCGTGTCAACACCAGAAGTGGAAAGAAAGTAAGTCTTCCTGCCTCTGCCCAGGTTCAGAGCTTCCAAGAAGGTGTCTTCTAGGTCCATTCTGATGGGGATCAAATAGGCAATTGTGTGCGTATGTAACATGGGGTTTGGTGTCATTTTCCTTAACATGTTGTGTGTGTGTACATGGCTGAGTTCACACTGCTTATTGTGTCTGAAAGCTAAATAATCTGGAAGTGGATGAAGGGAAAGGGAAAGGATAGGACTTTTTACCTTTTACATTTATTTTTAATATAGGATGAAAGTTAGCAAGAAGCAAGGTACGAAAACAAAGCATGATACATTCTAGAATAAAACCATGATTAACCACCCCCTCCACACCTCATTTTGGTTGGTGACCTTAAAACAAAAATGAATGTGTGTGTCGGAAGATGGCAAAAGACCACTAACCTTTCCCGTAAAAGGTAATATTTTAGCTTCCCTGTCCTAACTTGCGCCCTGTAATTTCAGTTCTCATGGAAGATAATTTTATGTTTTATCTTGTATTTCCAGTATTTCTTTCAGGCAACTTAAACAAAACCAAACCCAAAACAAAACAAACCTTTTCCTTTTCTACTTTATTCTGTCATAATTATACTAGAATGTTCTATTTGTGATCTTCTGAGGTAAAGAAATTTAAAGAAAGTCCACGTTTCTAAACAGACACTTCCTTTGGCACAGAGCCACTGTACCGTTCATGCCAAGAGAGGCGTAGAAGTGGTTTAGGAATCAAGTATTTCTGGAATGCAAAGCACACGTTGGGAGAGCGTGTGTGTGTGCTTTAGAGCACAGCTCTGCCTAATCCATCCACGTGTGTGTGCTGTTGGCACCGAGGCGGCTCGGGGAGGAATGGCTGCTTTGCCAGAAAGCTCCAGTTCTTCACTTAAGAGGCTTTGTAGGTTTGATTCAGGACTGAGGGACATTGAAAGATTTGTGCCACAGAAAAATAAGCCCACTGCCCACTCAAGGTGAGAGGATCTCTGCACACGCAACACAAACTTCCTTTGTTCTGGCTGCATTCTTTCCTCCCAAGAATCTAGTACAAGACTCAAGTTGACATTGATTTTGAATTCGGAGGTATTATGGTGGAGTTTATTGCTTATGTAGCATGATTCAGGCTGAGAGTTCAGGTGTTCTCTCAGAATCTCTGAGTCCTTCAGGAAACAAGAAATGTTTGTCCTTCCTCCTGAGAGGAAGTGACTCACCAAATTTGTACTAAGCTCTGTTAGGCCGGGTAGTTCTTTCCCTCAATTGTGGGGAGTCATTCCTTCCATGTTTATATCCTTTACTTGGTAAAATGTGGCATGACTCTTGTGGGCAAGAGAGAGACTGACGGCCTCCTCTGAGGTTAAAAAAATTTTTTAAACACACATACACACACACGCCCTCTCTCCATTTGTAATACTGTCATTTTTCCTCTAATTTACGTATGTATGTATGTATGTATGTAGAATTGGAGTCTCACTCTGTTGCCCAGACTGGAGTGCGTGGCACACTCTCGGCCGCCACAACCTAGACCCGCTGGGCTCAGGCGATCCTTCTGCCTCACCTTCCAAGTAGCTGGAACTATAGGCGTGCGCTACCATGCCCAGCTTATTTTTTAAATTTATTATAAGACAAGGTGTCACCACATTGCCCCAGCTGGTCTCGAACCCCTGAGCTCAGACAATCTTCTCTCCTTGACCTCCAAAGTGCTGGGTTCTCTCTAATTTTACATGCTTCAAACTTATATGTTTCTAAACAGTTTGAAAGTTTAGAAACATTTTGTCTTTTATTTCCCTATTAATGGTTTTTGGAAACTATGAAACTTTTTGTTTTTAACTTTAAAATACTTTCTTTTGAAAACTTTTAAACTTATGAAAAAGTTGCAAGAATTGTGCTGTGAATGTCCATTTAATTTTCAGTTGGACTCACCAATTGTTGACTTTTGCACACTCTTGTTCACACACACACACAATACCACTAATTATTATTATTGTCGCCCATTTGACAGTAAGCTACAGACATCATGACCTTCACCCCTAAATGCTTCAGCATATTTTTCCCTAAGGACAAAGACATTCTCTTACAGAACCCTAGTATAATTACCAAATACAAGAAACTTTAACAATGACTTTTTATAATATACAGTTCGTATTCAAGTTTTTCCAATTGCCCCAATAATTGTCTATCCTAGTACATTTTTTTCCAAACCAGCACTTTAAAAAAAATTACTTACCACATTTACATGTCATGTCTCTTTTATCACATTCAATCTGAAGGGTTTCTTAGCCTTGCTTTGTCTTTTATGATACTGATATTTGTTGAAAGTATAGGCTAGTCGTTTTGTGAAGTATTTGGCGTTTCTTTCTTTTTTTTCTCCACAGTGCATTACATCAGGAGGCATGTAGTGTCTGTTTGTTGCATTATTGGTGAAATTAATTTTGATCATTTAGTTAAGGTGGTATTTGCCAGGTTTCTTCTGAGAAGTTAAAATTTTTGCTTTATAATGAATAAGTATTCTGTGGGAAGATCATCTGACCTGTTCCTCATCAAACTTTTACCTAATGGTTTTTAGATTCTTTCAATGATTCTTGACTGAATCAATTATTACTGTGATGGTTGCAATCATAGTAATAATACTGTGATACTAATTATTTCACTGATGATTGTTTTGTATTAAATCTTCCAAAAAATTTTCTTTTCTTTTTTTTCATCTTATTTCTTTTTTTAAAACTTATTTTTGTAAAGATGAGGTCTTGCTATATTGCCTAGACTGGCCTCGAACTCCTGGGCTCAAACAATTCTTCCACCTTGGGCTCCCAGAGTGCTGGGATTACAGGCATGAGCTGCCATGCCCAGCCTTCTTTGTTTTTCAGGATGAGGTATCACTGTGAAAATCCTAGGTCAGGTTATAATTTGAGTAGGTTTGATGCAGTGTTTCTATTGAATAATTTATTTCTTGTACTTGAAAATGCAGATAGAAAATTCCCACTATTCTTCTCTTCAGAATACTTGCTAGTAGCTTTGCTGCTGAATGTTAAAGCCCTGGAGGATGACCTGGCAAACCAGTTGGTTGTGTCTGGTTAGTGTCTGCCAGGTATCTGCCAAGCAAAATACTGTTCTGCGTCAGAGTGGTGTTCTATGGGCAGAAGTTTTCTTTTGCTTTTTATTCCAAAAGCAAGAAAACTCATAAACAAAAGTGGGCAAGGCCTTCAGTGGCCCGCCCTAAGAAACAGCCGTATGGAAGCAACATGGATGCTGAGCACTGGCCCTGTGACCCCTGCCTTCCAGATCCACAGTCTCCCCAGTTGTCCCAAGGAATCCAGGACGTTTGCCTCCCTTCCTTCTCCCTCTGCTGAAACCTATTCTAAGGGAGGTGTCTGGCATGGATTAGGATGCAAATGTCTGTTTCTAAAAAAGACATCACCTCTCCCAGTAGCATTTCACATTTAATAGCATGTAAATCTTAAGTTACAGGAAGTTACCTCTGACCAGAAGAGGTGGAGAAGGTGTGTCTCTTATGGGAAAGACAGGCAGTCAGAATTCTAACAGCCCTGGCATCCTAGCACCTGGATGACCCTACCAAGTGGAGCTGCCGGCCTCTAGATGCATTTGGCCTGCATGACAGATAGAGGTAGATTGGTGGATAGGTAGGTAGCTAGGTAGATAGATAGATAGGCAGACAGGCAGACAGATGGACACAGGTAGACAGACAGATAAGTAGACAGATAGATGGACAAATAGACACATAGCTAGATGACACAGACAGAATGAGTGGTTCCTTTCCACCATCATCAGTCTGGCATTCTTATTTTCTTATACTCCATTCCCCCATATGCTTTCACTAAAAGTTTAATAAAGGAGGCCTGGGGAGCTTTCTTTTGAGCTTCTTCTATTTATATCTATCTACGTTGCCTATTGACGAGGCTGTCTTCTTTATTACACAGATCTTGGGTTTCTGTCAGCTGACTGAAAAGGTGAACGAACATGAGTTAAATTTCTTAGCACTCATGAGTCCTATCTAGAGAGTTGAGCTTGTTATTTATTTATGTTTGCTGGGAAACATCTGTATAACTCCTATTTATGAGGAATGAGTTTTAGCTACGAATAAGAGAAAACCTGGCAGTTGGTGGCGTAAACAGATAAGAGATTCATTAGACAGACATTCTTGCTCCATGGAGAGGTCCTGGGCTGGCCCCAAGGTTCAAGTTGGCCTTCAGGAACCAGATGGTCAGACTGCTTCTTTTCTTCTTTTTCTTTGTCCTCATGGCCTCAAAGTGGCTGCTGCCTCTTCCAGGTGGGAAGAAAAAGCAGGGCGAAGGGAAGAAGGCCACAGGATGAAAATCCCAAGGCGTATCCTGACATGAAGTTTTCCTAGAAACCCTGTGCACCACGTTGGGGTTGGTCCTACTAATTTTCTCATGCAACAGCTGTCTTCTGAGCACCTACTTTGTGTGGCAGGCATCCTGCTGGGTGCTGGGATGTGGTGCTGCACAGAACAGACAGCTGCGTGCAGCTTGCATCTGAAGGCAGAGCGATAGAATAGAAAGCGATATCATATGTTTTCAATGGTGGTATGAGAAAAATAAAGAAAGGAGACCCAGAGTTGGATCACTTGGCCGCCATAGCTAAAGGGAGTTTAGACAAGCGAGCATTTTTAACTGAGTACATTGCTGCCCTGAAAAACATGGAGTTTTCTTTTTTCCTTTTAAGGAAATGGGGAGAATAGACATTGTGTAGGAAACTAGCAGTATTTTCTATGACAAGTTCATCTTTTATTTGTGTATATGTATCTGCAAAATTGAGTAATCTTAAAATTAACTACATGTCTGACAAAGAAGCTGTGTGTCAAGACTACTTAGATTCATTATGGTAGGGCCACCTGGTTTTTTCTTGGTATGTCTAGAGGTAGTCTTCATGGGTTTGGTTCACTGGATATTAAAAAAGAAAAAGCAGGTAATAATGTTTATTATGTACCAGGAACTGGCCTAAGCCCTTAATGTGGGCTTATTTAGTACAAC